TGATGGGTACGTTTTGTGCTAATTATCCTTTAAAAAAATACTCAAAAGTTGTACCTCAAACTCCCAAGTAGACCCTTAATTTCCTTGTAAATTTTGATTCTCCTTTCTCTCACTGCCATGCGTGTCTTCAAAAATTATCTCTTTCATTCTTTCTTCGATACTTCCATTTTTTAATGAAGTTAATACACAAACAACGATACAAGATAACAAAACAATAAATTCAATCCATAATATTTTGAATCCAAATAGTAACCACACGGTGTTTGAAATGTCATTTCTTTGTTCTATTTTCCGTAGATTAAAGGATTAATTATTTGAATGATTATTGAACTATATCAAGTGCTACTACTTAATAACTGAACTTAAAAAATGTATCTTTATGATCACTGAACTATGTACCATGTTACTCACCCATTATTCAAGTGAAAAAATTCGAAAAAGTTCAACAAATGGTGACTTGAGCGATGGGTAAGTAACACAGTGTATAACTCGATGACATTTGAAATACAATTTTAATGTCAGTAAGTATTAATAATTTCTTCTTCCCTCAAATCAACCTATGTGAAAAGAATAAACCAAAGAAAATGAAGGGAAAAAAGAGGATACTAGAAATCAGAGGCCTATAAATTAAAGAAAAATAGAACTTTTCAAAATTGAGCATCACAGATTTCTACAAAAGATCATTTTTTTTTCAAATTGGTTATCAGATATTGTTATAGATTGCATTTTTGGTGGTGGGTAGCCTAGATTTGGAAAAAAGATTAAATTTTGCCTGGTGGATATTTCATTTTTCAAAAAACAAAATGGACTTTTTGAAGAAATATTAATTTTATGGAAGTGGTAGTTGAGATTTTTGCATAAGATTAGATTTTTTTTAAATTTTCGAATAAGAGGTTTCTGCAAAATGACAAGAATCATTTGCTTCTAATTATTTGAATGGTAACTGAAATGCACCATTTGTTATTATTTAATAATAAACTTATAATTATGTATCAATGCTCACTAAACTATGCACTATGTTATACATCCATTACTCGAGTATTTTCTCACTTATATGATGGATGGGCAACACGGTGCATATTTTAGTGATCATTAGCTTATATTTTTTAAGTTCAATTATTAAGTAGTAGCAATTGATATAGTTTATTTATCAATTCAAATAATTAACTCTTGCTTAAATTATAGAAATCTTTTACATTGAAGTGATTTTAAGTTTGTTGGAATAGAACCAGGCTTGAAATCAATGTTCTCGAAAACGTAAAACGTGACAAGACATGGATGCCAAGTTTCAAGATTTAATGGGAGCCTAGGCATAAAAAACATTTTATTACTTTTAATATTATTTAAATTTTTAATCATTTTAAAAATTATTTGATAATTAAAATAATACATACAAAACATAAAAAATTATAAAATACTATTTTCAATTAATAATTACTGCAATTAGTTAATATACAATTTTTAAAGGAAAACCTTCAAACTAAATTAAATAAAGGCTTTTTATTAAAAAGGAAAAAAATTAAAAAAAATAATAAAGTATTCCTAATCGTAGAAGCGCATTAAGAGGTTGACTATTGTCAAGAAAAAGTGTTTTATCCACACCTCGCGCCTAGAAAACAGACTGCCTAAACGCGCTTTATAGAATACAGCTTGAAATCACAATTTGAGTGAAAATTTTCGTCTTCCAATTTATGTAGGTAAAGTTGCACTCAAAAAGAAATTTTGAAGTTTCTTTTTCCGACACCTAAAATCTCTCTATTAGTGAAATCTTTATAAATTCACTAGTTTTTGAGATACCTAAATTTTAAAAGATTTCATTGAATTTCATTAAAATCAATACAACTAATTTTAGTAAAATTTCAATTAAGGACACTTAATTATTTTTTAAAAAAATTAAAATTTATCACAATTTCTAATGATAACACCCATGGCCCCTGTTTGGGCTCCATTTTATTAAGAAAATACATTTTGGAATAGTAAAATGTTGGAGAATGCATGGTTGAAAGATAAGAAAAAAAAATTTGAGTTTGTGCGTAAAATTATTTTATAAAAAAATATAAAATTGAAGATCAATATTTTGAGAGTAGGGACTCAAACAGGGGGCATAACGACTAAACCCTTCCAGACCCCCCCATCCAGACACACACGAGACAGATGAACCGAGTACAACCCTGAAGATTTTTTTTTTTTTGGAGAAACCCTCTGGCTATTGTTGGAAGACAGTGAAAACATATTGATTGCTGAGGAAATCAATGCAGAAGCTACGGATTTTCCGTCAAAAATGTGCCCAAACCTGCTTCTCCTCTCTTTCAACTACAGACTCTTCTGCCACGGCTTCAATTTGTACGGGCACCAAGAATAGCCTTACCCAAGAAGAACTCAGACAAATCAACCTCCTCATCCCACGTCTCTGCTCCTCGAACCACCTCAAAGAGGCCATTAATCTAATCTCCACTGCTCTTTCCACTTCGAACCCACCACTCAAATTACTCCCACTCCCTTCCCTCCTTCATAATCTCTCGCTCGAACCAGACCTCACCAATTCCATGTACTTCCTCAACACACTCAAGTACAATCAAAACCCACCCCTCCCACAAAGACATTCCCTATTACTAACCATTGCCAAGATGTTTATGTCTTATTCTTTCGAAACGAAGCAGCCCAAGAAGGCCTTGAAGATTTTCCATTGGGTGTCGAGGCCTGATTTTCCTGGAGGGTTGGTTAGGGATTCTGAGTTTTATTCTGTTTTGGTTCATGGGTTTTGCAATAATGACATCGTATTGGAGGGTTTGAGGGTTTTGAGGGTGATGGTCAGTGAGAATTTGGTGGTTGGGGATGATGTAAGGATGTTTATTTACAGGGGTCTATTGAGGGAAGCCAGGATTAGGGACGCCATGGAGTTGAATGAGACTTTGTGCTGTGTTTATGCAAGTAGTGCTGGTGATGGTGAAACTGTGAAGAAGGTAGTGGATCTATTGGATTGCTTGATTGACAATTGGTTTCAATAGAAATCCAGGTAATCGATTTCCTGTGCGTTGTTTGATTTTATTTTTTTTGTAGTAAGAATTAATTTGTTATGCAGTTCTCGTTTGAAATAGTTTGCTTTCCACTAATAATTTTAATGTTATCCTAAACAAGAAACTCGAGGACAGGATATGATAGCTAATTTTGCATTGATTATTTGTGAATTGAATTGAGATTGCATTAATAAACAGGTGTAATTAAAAAAATAAATAAATTGAAGTCTCATTTAGTATCCAATGCGAACTGTGATATTACAAATCGTCTTCGTGGTTTGTCAAAACTTAGATACAAATACATAATGTAACTAATAGGGCTGCCTCAGTGGTAGATTGAAATGATTGTGAAAGAAAAGAAGAGAAAGAAAACATGGAAAAACAAAAACACAGTAGCAAGAAACTGAGAGAAGCATTCTGAAGTCTAACTACGCCTTGGACATTATAAATGAGGATTTAGGTTATTAGTAGTTGTATTTGCCGAGTAAGGACTTTAATAGAAATAACAACTCATGGTTTATCTAAGTAGTCACCTCACTAAATTCGGTTTACCTGGTTTAAGAGTGGAATAATAGTTAGTTACTTACTAGTGTAAGTCTCATTTATTGTACGACACCCTCTAGATTTGATAGTAGACATAATAAGGGATTGAACTGCTCGAGTGAAGATAGACCAAATTGGACCAACGGAGCTTGGATTTGATGATTGAGAAGCCTAAGGGCTTACTTAGGTATAGGCCAAAGATTGGTAATGACTATTCTCACACATGAAAAGGGTTGAACATGGGTTAAGTACAAACTTTAAATTGTAGTGATATCTGAAGAACATCTTTGAATTACATGCTTAGGTTCATCCTTGAGGCACTCAAAGTATGATATTCGACTGAGTTGCACTTTGCTTTCTTGTTTACATTGTGAGCTTTGTTTAGTTTTTCTCGAGGACTAGCAAAAGTTCAAATTTGGGAGTGTTTGATAAGTGTAAGTTCAATTCATTATCTTGTTCTTGTTGGGGATAGTTTGCTTTCCACTGATAATTTTATCATGTTCTCCTAATACAAGGAATTTCAGGTCAAGGATAGGATAGTTAATTGTACGTTAATTACATGTGAATTGGGAGGAGATTACATGGATTCCTATTGCGGGAGATTTAATATACTGGTGCGGTTGTGTAATAATTGAAGGATCTCTTTCTGATTCCAGTGCTAATCCGGTGCAATTACAAGCCTTGTCTTCTTGATTGGTCAAAACTTACATAAGTGGCAATAACCGCTGCTACAGTTGGTGTTGCCAGTTCTTTTAGTATTTAGTAAGTAACCATTATGAATATCCTATAAACTAATCAAAACTTTAAATACGCTTGGAAAAAGCCCACACCATTTATTAAGAGATCCTCACAAGTTTCACAGGGGAGAAAAAGAACCATCCAACATTGAGGCTGACGATGTTTCTGAAGAATGATGCCCTTGATGTCCCATTGCCTATGCCCTGTAAACGTAGAGCACAAACCACGTGATAGATCTTGATGATGAAGGACAACCTCGACCTTACCTCGTCAATACTTGTGATCAAGCTAGGAATTGTGGTAAATTCTTTTAAGGATACTCCTAGAACTTGTACTTTAGATTACCAAGGATTCAAATAATTTGTTACATTATTTTGGTGAGTAATGTTGATTGAAGCTCTAGTTTCTATATTTGTACACAGTCCTTTTGAATTTTTGTGATTCGAATATGAAGTGATTCTGTACTTTATACTTTGCTGATTGATTTCATTGCTTATTTCTCTTCACTTCTGTATCAGTTATCACAATTCTGCAAATGCAGCAGCCTGCTCCCCCTGAACATAACAGGGTCTGTTGTCCACTGCCAATTGATCTGTGTATTTGAAGAGTTTCTCCATTTATTCAAAATAAATTTTAATCTCTGCATCCTCACTGCCTCTGTTTTCTCTCATGAAGCTCATGGTTATTGGAAATAAATTGTAACTAATTCATGAGGATGAGTTTTCTCCTTATCCTGTGCCACTGTGCTAAAGGATATTCTGCACGTTTGACTTCTCCTTCCACTCTAATCTCCACAGATTTGGAATATCTGGAACTGGAAGGGTCGCAATTGAGCAACTTACAAAAATCTTCTTTATGAATCTAAGAAAATCAAGTGCTCCTTCAAAGACGAGTCAGGCATTTTCAAATTCCAAGAGACGATCTACTCCTTCCTATCGGTCCTTACTTGAATGGCATTTTCTTCCCAATCTTAATACTGATGGCATCATCTAATCTGAATCCACTCCTAATGCGATTGAAGGTGCATCAAGGCATGACACCGAAACATGGATAAAAGAAGGCTTTATACGCAAGATTGCTCATTGTTAAATACTGGCGATTGAAATATTGGCTCCTGGACAACAACTTGTGTTAGCTTTGGAAGTGAGGATTTACAAACTAATTGCTGAAACTGATCCACTCATATGTGTAAGTTGAAAAGAAGTCACATTGTAAGTGAACTTGTGTTGCTCTTCAGGGAAATCACTACTTATAGTGGCTGTTGCTTTAATAAATGGTCTCTTGGCCATGATCAAGTCCTCTGTAACTACATTTGTTTGTTTTACTTTTGTATTTAATAAAGGAGAAGTACCCAAAATAAATATTTTATTATTTTTAATGTATTGTATAATTTTTTATTGAAATTTTCGAAGGAAAATAGTTATGAACCTAACAAGAAAAAGTTTCTGGAAATCAGTCCTATATTCAATGAAAATAGAACATCGGTGGTTCTCATTTAGACAGTATCAACTATCAACTAAGTTTTCAATTATTCTTCTATTACTAAAGTGGATAGTGAACTGCTGGAAATGGCTTACGATACCTCTGAGTCCCTGTGTGCGCTACTGGAATTGAATTAAAATGCTTTAGCGCTCTATCATCTTTTTGTGCCACTCGAGATAAAAGCAGCCTCATTGAGCTACTGTGGAACAATGAAAGATTAGATCTCATGGAGTTTAACTTCCGTTCTCATTCCATGACCAATACGAGCTCGAAGCTTCCTTCATAACTTTTGGAACTTCGTAGCGGCTATATTTTATTATACTCTAGTCGTATTCCAATTTCATTCATTTAATACTCGTTGTCATTGAGATAGCAGCAAGTTGTGAAACTGCACTTCATTGAGAAGCGAAGGAAGTACAAAGACGAGGGAATAAGAGATGATGAGTTAGGCTAATGAAGCCATTGTAAAAATAATGTTCCATTGTGTTCATTTCTAGAACCAGACATCCTAAGCTCCAATGCGTTTCTCAAAGACGGACTGAATGACTAATGGAATACTTTACAACTTGACTTTCATTCAATTAGCAGTATTGGAATCAAACAAAACTCTTTTGATGAGACAAAAAAGGTCACCAATAATCCCCACAAGAGCAAGTTCCATCCTTGAAATGATGAAACCTTCGAACATCCCTCACAATGATCTCCCTATCTACAATCTTTGAAATAAATTTAGTAGCGGTGTGGCAGTCATTACAGACTCTAAGATTCTTGGCTATCCGAATAGTAGTGCCAGGAGGGGTATTGAGGAGACCGAAGGCCATTGCTAATCTCTCACTGTGTCCACAAAGGAGACTCTCCTTTTCCTCCTCATCGACATTCTGAAGAACGGAGGAAGTGTCAGGCACATAACCCTCTTTTTTCATTCTAGTGAATAGATTTTCGAGAAAGCGGTAGAGCTGTTTGCTTTGGGGGTGTGATACATCTCCAGCCAAAAACTTGTGAACCGCATCACCAAGCTCAATCCAGCTACACCCGGGTTCTTTTCTTACCCTCATTTCTTTCATGTTCCTTCGAACCTCAATAGCCTTTTCCCAAAGTCCAGAAGACGAATATATATTAGAGAGTAAAACGTAATGGCTAGCAACGTTTGGCTCTAACTCAAGGAGGTTTTTTGCTGACATTTCCCCAAGTTGGATGTTTTGGTGGATCCTGCAGGCACCGAGCAAACTACTCCAAGCCCCCACCTTGTCATATTCAGGGGGCATGCTATTGATAATTTGGTATGCTTCGTCCAGATTACCTGCTCGACCAAGCAAGTCTACAATACAAGCATAATGATCTGCATTGGGTTCGATCGCATGTACCTCTTTCATTTCCTGAAACAACTTTCTTCCTTCATCTACCATCCCAGAATGACTACACGCTGCAAAAACTGCAACGAAAGTAATCTCATTAGGCCTCACCTCTCTGTAACTGGCTCCCGCAGCTACCATCCTTCTAAAAAGGTCCAATGCTTCCTCTCCTTTCCCGTGCATCCCATAAGCCATGATGATCACATTCCATGTTATCACATTTCTGGTAGGCATGCTCTCAAAAACTCTCCGTGCTAGATTTAAGCACCCGCACTTGGCATACATATCAACCAATGCACTACCAACTGCAACATCAGATTCTAGCACATTTCTGATAGCACAAGCATGAATCTCTTTTCCTTTAGATATTGCTGCTAGACCAGCACAACTAGGAAGGACAGTCATGAGTGTTATTGAATTTGGTTTAAACAAGAACAAAATATTATCGTCAAGATCAGACTTCTCTTCATCTTCTGTTTCTGCTATTTGCATTTTACGAAGCAAAATAAGTGCTTCTTCATAGTATCCGCAAACAACATAACCAGTTATCATCGTATTCCAAGAAACAATATCTCTACTCTCCATGGTGCCAAATATGTACTTAGAGTTATTTATCTTTCCTATCCTGGAGTACAAGTCCATCAGGGCATTTTGGATGTACCTATCCCTTCCAAGACCCAACTTTATAACATACCCGTGCATCACTTCTTTATCTGCAAAAACTTCGCAGTGCACACAAGCTGGCAAAACACTAGCCATCGTGGTTGGATTTGGAAAAAGACCCGAGACCAATACCATTTTCATAAATAGCATCACGGCCTCCTTATAGAAACCATTTTGGGTATAACCAGCAAGCATAGCATTCCAGAGGCCAAGTTTCCTATCCACCACTGCACTGTCAAAGACTCTGCGCCCAAAAACAACTTGTTTACAGTTGCAATACATGTCCACCAAAGCACTGGCCACAAAGGAATTCCCCGTTAAATCATCGTTCCTCAATACATAAGCATGAATTTCTCTCCCAACATCCAGTAACTCCAAATGGGAACATGCAGGAAGCACACTTGAAATCGTGATCCCATCAGGCTTAAATCCTTCGACTATCATAAAACTCAAACACTCCAATGCCTCGTAGAATCGATCATTTTGTGAAAATGAACTAATGATGGTATTCCAAGAAACCATATCTCGGTCGATGAACCGCTCGAATATAGCCTTGGCTACATCAACTCTCCCTAATTTAGAATACATTGCCATCAAAGAATTGTTTGTAAATGTCTTTCTATCATCCACTCTCAAACTATACCCGTGAACTTGCTTTCCAATCCTTAATCCATGGCTCCTACTCAAATTACTACAAGCAAGCAGTAGGCTCACCAAAGTGAATGAACTAGGCTCGATTTTTTCCAACCTCATTAACCTAAAAGCTTCTATAGCTAATTCCCACTCCTCATGTTTACACAAGGCATTGATGATTGAGTTCCAAGAGACTTGGTCCTTCTGGGGTATTCTGGCAAACACCTTGAGGACTTGGTCGATGTCATCCCCGCATTTCCCATACATATGCAGAAGCGTATTGGCCACGGTGACCGATGAAGAATCATAGCCGAGTTTGACAACAGACCCATGAATCTGTTTCCCTAAATTCAAGTCTTGCAAGGCAGTGACGGCCTTCAAAGAAGCCGGGAAAGCAAAATTATCTGGTTGAACACTAGATAATTGCATCTGTATAAAAGTAGAAATGGCATCCCGGAATTGTTTTGAGCGGGTTTGGGAGCGAAGGGTTTCTATCCATGAGGATTTGGAGCGGGTGGTGGCAGTGGATGGTGGTAATGGGAGGTTGTCATGAGTTTGAGGAAAAGTAGAGAGAAAAGGAGAAGGGAGTAGAGGGTAGTGTGTGGATGTTGGGAGGGACATTGGTTGGTAAATAGTTATTACAGTTATTCAATTCAACTAAGAAGAAGAGAGCAACCGTAGAGAACGTTGCTCAGATCTTGTAAGGTAGTAGCAATGTAAAGTTGGGCCAGGCTGTTGGTGGCTAAAATTAAATGGGAAAATTTCATAAATAAGCGTTAAGTTTCACATATTTTAAATTTAAGAGAGAATGTTTAAAATTTCAAATTTCAGAATTGTTTAAATTTTATTTATAAATTAATTAATTAATTATATATTTTATTAACTAAATATATTAAGGTCACAATTCCATATAATTTGGTTATAAATTCTATATAATTAGTCACAAATCATAAATTTTACAGGTCACAATTCAAAAATTTTATGTCACAATTTGTTCATTGGTCACAAATCAGAAATTTTATAAGTCAAAAATTATTTTACGGCCACAAATCAGAAATTTTATAAATCACAACTTAGTAGACAGTCACAAATTGTCAAATTATCAATCACAAATAAACATTTTTTTAGGTCACACATTATTTTTTTGCCACAATTTATCTTCTTCGTCACAATTTATCTTTTCATTGGTCACATATTGTTTATTGGTTACAAATTAACTAATTTGATGGTCACAAACGATCAAATATCTGTGACCACCATCAACCACCAACTTGTCACCACTCCCTCCAGCAACACAACACTATCGTCGCCGCCAAAACCACCATCACCACCACCTCCCGACAGTAACATCACCTCAAACAAATCAACAAAACAATTTGTGACCACCACCTCCGCCAACAGTAGCACAACCACCAATGTCGCCCGTACCACAACCATAGAGGTGTCAATCCGGGTGGTTCGGG